AGCCATTCCTCAGGAGAAAAGACCGGACTAGTTTGCTTCTGCAAAGATTTCAGCCTTTGAAACCCTATGGGGGTTTTGTGTTTTGTCATACAAGGTCCCTGTAAGTCACATGTTATATAGGGTCCCTGTAAGTCACAATCACCTTGAAGGCAATGGAACTTTTTGCTTTAGCCCTCCAGCCCCACTCCCAGACCATCTGGCCAAACCTGGAGACACTTTGAGTTGTCACCTATGTCCAATGGCTTCTTATGGATAGAGGCCAGCGAGGCTGCCATTAGAGATGACGGCTATGCCAAGCTCAAGACGCCCTGAGGGAACGCTTGTGACCCAGCCTTCTGTGGTGGAGCCTTTGCCAGCAGCCCTTTTGCCTTGAAATGCTAATTCCCAGGACCCACGCTGCTGTAGAGTCACAAATGCTGGCTGTGCCCGGGAATCTGAATGACACTGACCAGTATTGAGGGGCAGGGCTGTGGCCTTTGAAAATCTAGAGTGCTCAGTAACTCGGGGCTGTCATCCCATAACCAGAGTTCCAGAATCTTCCTGCTGCTTGTTTGGGCAGGGTTGGCTGCTAAGGGCCTGGGACTTGAGCAGGGAGTGGCACTTCCCATCACAGGGGACAGGAGGGAGCCTAGAGTCATGACTGGAGATTGCTGAAGGGACAAGAGAGGAGCTGAAATTCAGACCAGCGTAGCAGCCATGGGATGTGTGTGTGTCTGAGTAAGGGACAGCCCAATGTGTGCAAACGCAGAGGGAAGGCCTCAGGGTGACCGCCCACCAGACAAGAAGAGAGCAGGAGCAAACCCTCTCTCCCTGGAGTTGGATCCAGAGCAGCAAGTAGGACCTACACGTGACTACTGATGCCCCCTTGGCCACTCACTCCATTGCCCCTCCATCCAAGGGTGTCCTTCAGGCAAACTACAGGTCCCATCTGTGGTGATGTCCACACCACACACCAGGGTGTGAGTAGCTGGTCTCGGGAGCTCCCCCTTAAGTAGGAAGGGAAGTTTGGGGCAGGCAGGATAGAGTCATTCGGTGGGAGATCTTCAGACTTAGAAGACAAAAAGCACCCCTGCTGCTCGTCTCTGGGCCACTTCAATCAGATACATGTGTTGTGTCGTGTCTGTGTGGAGCCTTCTGTGCGGACAAAGCTGCAGCTGCCCCTCCCTCCGCCAAGGGTGCTTGTCCTCCTGGAAACCCACCCCAACCCTTTGTGCTTCTGAGGGGCAGTGCCCATTAAGGGCTAGGATCAGGGAAAGCCCACAGCGCTGCGGAAGGGCCACAGCAGACCTTCAAGTCCACCTTGGATGCCTGGGTCTCCCCCAAGCATGAGAAGAAGGCCACTTTACTGGGGCAGGTTTTCCACAGCACATGTCCCCCCATCTCCCAGGAGGCTCCCTCCTGTGCTCAGGGACAAGTGCATGTGGACTCCCGCTGACCAGGGGTGTGCAGCAGCCCCCAGCCCTTGCTGCCTTTCCTGCTCATCCCTCCAGCTCCATGGTCCTTTTGCTCTCATAGCTCTGATAACACATAGTTCTGTTTACTGCCTTGTGTCTATGCCGATCGTCTGTCCTCCCCTTTGAGGGCAGAGGCCTCGCTGGTACTTAGTACGTGTTCAGTCAGTGTCTGGGGGAAGACTGCCTGGTGGGCGAACAAAATCTGGAGGTGTGACCTGAGTAAAGTGTGGACATCTACTGACTCATGGTGCCCTCTGGTGGACGCTTTGTACCTGTGGAACTGGTCCCCAGCCCTTGAGCTTGGCTGTGGCAACCAAAGGGGTGGCCACGTTGGTGTCCATGAAGTCAGCAATTCCTGGTTTTCATGAAGGAACCAAACACTTCAGGTTCTAGAGCCTCTCTGGAGGGTTCAGTGAGCTGGAGGGCAGACCTGCCAATTATGCCCCGTCACCATGCTAAGTATTAGATAACTTAGAGTTCACATGTGGTGCTGTAGGATAAACTCCGGACTGCTGACCAGAAGGTTGGATGTTGAAACTCACCAGTCAGTCTTTAGAAGCCATATTATGAACAGAATTGCCTAGACATAATTATTGACTGTTGTCATAACTGCTACTCAGTAGTTTATGTTGTGTTAAATGTGATGTGGTCACCGTGTGGTGGCTCTGTCTCTCAGCAACCTCGCTGAAGATCAGTTTTCCCATCTCTTAAATGGGGAGAACAATGCAGGTTAAGTGACCTTAATGAGAAGTTTGCTTTAAGAATCCTCACCTCCTTCACCCTTTCTCAGAGGCACAGCACACATCCCTGCCAGACTGCCTCTAAGCACCTGCCTCCACATTTGGGTAACCAGGGAGGGTCACCCCTGCTTTAGCAGAGTTAGGTGGCTCAGTAGTTAGGAACATGGGCTCCAAGCCAAACAGATGGGGTTTGGGGTCCAGATTCTAGGCTGTTCATAGTGGGCTTGCTAATGCAAAGCAGTTACTAAGCACCCCACCCCACCCCCCAACCAGAGGTTGCTGGGGAGGTTCCACACTAACACAAAGCGAACCCTTGACAGATGGTAGTGTGGTGACAGTGATGGGGAGGCTGATGGGGATGGTGGTGAGCACCACAGGACTCCTCCTGCACCCGTGCTGTGTTCCAGACTTGTTCCTATGCCATTGGAGGGCTAAAGGGCAGCACTCTTGGTGACCCCTGTCCTGCAGGTCCACACACCTGTGAGACCCTCACAGGAGACACATTTGTGGGACGACTAGTATCAAGCTGTAGGGACAGGAGACTGGATAGCAGAGATTTTATTCACCTTATGTTTTGATTTCACTGAGATCTGGAAAAGGAGTCCTAGTGGCACAGTGGATTAAGCACTGCACTGTTAACCACAAGGTTAATGGTTCACGCCCACCAGCCACCAGGGAGAAAGATCAGGTGGTCTGCTCCCATCAAGATTTACAGCCTTGGAAACCCTAGGGAGCAGTTCTGCTCTGACTTGTAGGGTCACAGGGCATGAGACTAGACATGATGGCAGAGGACTCAGTCGTGTGTGTGAGAGAGAGACATGGAACTGGACAAATGACTGCATAGATGCTTAGGACACAGCTGAGTAATGAACGAGTTAGCTTGGAGTCCGGTAGTCCGAGAAGGTTGGTTGGTGGGTGTGGCCGCCCGGGCAGATGGTGCCTGACTGACCAGGGTTTAGGGGGGACATTGGAGCCATCATCACAGCCCTAAAGCAGTCCCAGGTGGGGAGACAGTGCAGGCCTGGCAGGGGCTGGAATAGGACCACCAGCCACTGCAGATGCAGTGACACTTACGAGGAACTTGTGTCACTATCCACGCTGAGCACTTTCAGTTGGTTACTTCCTTTCATATAAAAGTGACACTGAAAGGGAGGCTGAGAAGGTGAGCACAGCGGACTCGCCCCCTCCCATCACTCGTTTATTGATAAACAGGATGTGCAGGGTGAGAGAGCCCCCCACAGAAGCCTGATACGCATGTCCAGCCCAGACAGCAATGTGCAAACGGCTGTACAAGAGTCTGCAGGCCGCACCACAGACAGCCCTTCCTCTGGCTGGGATGCTTCTCCCAGCAGCAGGCAGCTCGGCAGCGGCTTCGTGCGCAGTTTTGGTCACTTGGCTACTCATGAAGAACCAAGTCGGTCCCTTGAGAGGGTTTTGCATCAACAGTGGTGTAAGCCCTGATTTGGTCGGTCCACAGGTCACCAGCTTGCCTTGGCACAGGAAGCGCAGTCAACGGAAGACCCCTGGAATCTGCTTTCGGTTGTCTCTCAATGTACAAACCAGGCAGGTTAAGGCAAGTCCCCAAGAGGGGAGCGTTTGCTTTTGGGCATCACTGGAAGTTTTGCGTCAGGTTTCCCCGCGTCACCCCTCGTGAGGTGGCAGAAAAGCAAACATAAAGGACATCCACGATCAAGCAAGCTGCTGTCGCTCGGAGTTCACTGGCTCAGTGCTGCCATTGTTGTCCTTCCACGGTCACCTGACACCAAGGCACAAAGTCACCCTACTACAGGGCAGGTAGCCTTGTGTGCCCTCTCCTTAAGTGGGGGCCACCAGGCAAATACCTTGCTGCTTGTAGTGTCCCTGTTCTGGCACAAAGTCCAGGCCACCATGAGCGTCTGGTCTTCCCTCACTGAGGGAGCTGTCTGCCTACTGTCCATGTTGGGGTGGGGGAGGGCCCTCACACACTTGAGATGTGAAAAGAAACTGAAAACAGGAGGGCAGCACAGGACCATACGGGAATGATTGTTCTTTGGGATGAGATATCCTCCGACCTGCAGTACATTCAGCAGTTCGTCCTGCTTCCCTGAAACGTCAGCTTTTACAAAATAGCTCGTTTGCTGTTCACAGCCACACAATATTCTCTCATCTCAACAACAATGCCAGTTTCCAGACGTGCACACACACACGCACATACACGCACACACACAGGATGTGCTGGAAGGGCTGAGATGTGCCGCTTCGGGGGGCGGCAGGCATGGACCTGTGGCTGCTCCGTGCAGATCTTCTGCAACTTCAGTGCAAGGTAAACGTCAGAGCGAGTCAAGACCAAGATGTGTTTCTACATAAAAGGCCCTCTGTGATCAGGGGAGCACTCAGGAAGCCCAGGTCAGCAGGGCTCCCCGAGCTTTTGGCCTGGCTGGGGATTCATATTTATTGGACTGAGTTTTTATCTATGATTGAAAAACGCTGCTCATTCACGGGACTGTAATGACCCAAGTAATATCCCAAACAGCTTCTTAGAAAATGCAAAGTATTCTTAACAAAAATCCTACCTGTGCAGGAAGAGGAGGAAATTTGGCTTCATGGTATGGCCACACCCTGTGCGCCAGACGTATGGAAGCATGGTCCAGCTGTGGGTTTGGAAACTGCCATCTGTGACTGTTAATATATAAAACTCTGCTTGCTGCAAGCAACTGGTTTCTGTAGGTTCCTTTTGCCCTACTGGTCACAGAGGAGCTGCCAAGACCTCCTCAGACCCCCAAATCACTGAAAGTCTGAGAGCAAGTTTCCAGCATGGTGAGCAGCCTCAGACGGAGAACTCCGCTCCTCCCCTCCTGGTTCTTGACTGGAGCCGCCTGAATCGGAATCCCACAAAGGGGTTCATCCAGAGGAGTGACGGGGGCCCCCCAAAGACAGACTTCATCCCTTCCCAGCGGAGCCTCCGCTCCCATGTAGGCTTCTCGCTTTTCAGTCTCTCGATCTCCTGGAGGCAAGAGAAAGCAGGGGGGTTGGTAGCAGGACTCCCAACAGACACAGGTGGGGCCGAGCCATTCAAAAGGGGCAACACCCCAAAGTGCAGAATCCTGGTTCATTCAGGGATGAGGAATTCAAGCCAAGTGTAGCAGCAGAGCTGGGTGCCCCTCCCTAGCTCTGGCAACCCCATCCCTGGGTGCAGTGCACTTGTTAACCACCCTTGTTACTCCTGCCCTTTATGACACGGTATGTGACACAGTGTGTTGCTTGAGGGAACGTGCTAGAGCTTTCCTAATTAGAAAAGTCTACTCCGGAAAAGTCTACTATCAAAATAACAGTTGGCAGGATGGCAACTGGGTGGGTCCCTCTCAGCTAAGATGGGGAGGGGTGAGGGCAGCATCCTGCCCCCATCCTTAGCTAGGTAAGAGTAAACAGCTGGAGCACGTCATCAGCACCCAGTTCTACAAATGCTCGGAGTTGTGTGGTATCTGAGACATGCACCTTGTTCCACTCAGACATGGAACAGGTCCCGTATTTATCACCCACCCCTGCCCAAAGCCCAGCAAGCAAATGCAAGTTCAAAGCTAGAACCCAAGTGTACATTCACACTTAGAGCAGCTGGTTGGCCTTCTGCCCTCGGAACCTGTGTCCATGCATCATGTGGCAGACACAAAAGAGTGTGAGGGTCGCTGAGAACTAAGAGAATGTACATTCCTGCTCTGCCCCCCAGATGTGTAGCCGCTGGCCACACCACCAGCAGAGATGGCAGGATGGGGTAGGGGACAGGAGGGCTGCATGGAACACAGCTGGGCCAACAGCCCTGTCAGCCACAAGTGTAGCAGGTGTTCCGTACAAATCCTTCCTGGGGCCTGCTGTAGATGCACATGTCAAGGGCAAGAAGGTGCTCAGCCCTGAGCTCACTCACCTGCTCCAGGGGCTGAGTCTCCTAGAAACCAGGAATTTGCCCAGCTCTATTTGCTGGGCTTTGTTGACTCTCGCATCAAACTGATACTTAAAGTACACTCTGTGCATAATAAAAGCAATAAACACAGTGATCTGGTCTAAGCTTATCTTGGCCCTCAATTAATCTCCTGCTTTCAGACACCACGTGCACCTGTTACAAACATGAGGACTCCCACTGCTCGGGCTCTGACCAAATACTAGGCCGACGGCGGAGACGGAAGCATACCGTTTCATCGTTGCATATGGAGTGGATTTGAGTGCCAAACATAACTGCAGTGAAAGTGAAAAACAGAAGGCCCTCAAGGCACAAGAAGATCAACAGGATTACAGTAATAGGTGGAGAAAAGTCACTGCATTCTGTGGACAAGAAAAAGGGGGTTACAGCTGGACAGCAGCAGGTAGCAAATACCCAACCACGGAGCACCACGCGCAGGCCACCCTCCATCAGCTTATTGGGGAAGGAGTGTGCTGGTTTTATAAGCAGGCACCCTTGTCTACCCAGGAGCAGAGGAGGCCAGTGCTTCCGGGGAAAAAAATTCAGTCATCGCTTCCTGGTCAGCAAGCCCAACAGACTGCTCACCACACCACCTAAGGACACCTAAGGCTGGACCCTCAGCACAGCAAGCAGTGACTTGCTGGGACTCACTCATACCCTTGTGATGCAAACCAAGGGCAACTCAGAGCAGTGCTTAGCTAGCTAGCTCACCAGAATTCACACATAAGGTTTGCAGAGAATACGAATTCCTCTGGTCTCGAAATCTGCAAGAAGCAAATACTACTGCTTAGTGGACATTATAAGAAGCTCTGGTGACACAATGGCTAAGCACTTGGTTGCTAGCAGAAAGTTTGGTGGTTGGAACCCATCAGCTGCACCACGGGAGAAAGATGTGGCCATCCACTTTAGTACAGATGTTAAGTGCCATCAAGTCAGTTCTGACTCATAGTAACCCTGTATAGGGTTTCTGAGGACTGGCTGGTGAACTTGAACCACTGACCATGCAGTCCAGCACATGAACCCACTTGGATACCCTACGGGGTTTCCTACAGAGTCACTATGCATCCGAATTGACTTGATAGCAGTAGGCATGAGAAATGATTATTGAGTAGGTTCCAGAAGAAGCTTTATTATGTGACTTCACTATGCTTACAAAATGGCTGTAACTCTTTTCTACAATAAGATAATGAACGCCCACAGCAAGAGTTTCCTTCAGAACTGGAACTGGGCAATAACCTCTCACTTTAACACTTTCTCTTCCTTACTCAGGAGCACAGACTTCTATGAACGACACACAAAACATCCACTTACCTGTCCACTGCCCTCGGACACAAGAAATAAACTGCAATCCACAGAGAATCAGAGCATGGACTGAAGACAGAGCTATGTACATCTGCAGTGAGCAGGGAGAAATCAGTTAGTGACTTTCAAGCTACTGAGTATTTCCAGGAGCAAAGACAGATCAGTATTATGTTTACTCTTCTGCATTTGTCAACCAGAATTAACTGAAGGAATAAGCGGCCACAGCTGCATCGACCTTGGACCACACTGGACAATTGACAGACAGTCTAAGACTCTTCAGAAGACCCCATCAACAATGGGGCTGTAAAAGCACCAGAGACAGAATTCAGCTAAAGTCAGCACCTGAAACCTGTGCCACTAGTCTGCTATACTTTGCAGCCCCACATTGGTCTGTATCCTGGGAAAGCTCGTGAGGCGATCAGATACTACTACAATAGTGAGGGTTCCCGCTCCAGACAAGCATCTACTTAGAGAGCCAAAGCTGATACGAGTCCCACCAAACACCTCCACTCACAGTGAACAGCACAAAAAACCTCTGGTTCTTTTCTCCCACACAGTTATTCACCCACGGGCAGTGGTGGTCCATTTTCCGGATGCATCGCTTGCAAATACTGAAAAGAAAAGGGTTAGGGGTTAGTGTCAGAGGGAGACAACCACATGAAACCAGAGTCAGGATAAACGACAGCACACGTTCTAGTACATGGTGGTAGAACAACATCCGCACTACAGACAGAAAGGTAGATGATGGTTCTGAACTCCTCACGTGGGTTCGGCCTCCTAAGGCAAACGTGTAGTGGCACTGAAGCTTCAGAGTCAACCAGACCATATTCGGAAGGTTTCCCACTAGAATCAGATCATGCATACTTATCGATACTGTTCCCAACTTTACAAGGCTGTAGGTCTGCTTCACCAAAAACCAAAAGCAGAACTCAAGCCTTCAGGAAAGAGAAATTCTCAGTGTCTCCCAATCATTTATATTTCTCAATCACTTAACTATATATCTAAACATGAAGTTTTTATAGTCACACATGTTTTTGTCCCAAAAATTCTTGGCCTCAGATGACACAGTGGCAGTAATACTGGGCTCCGATGTAACAACTGTCAAGACGGCGCAGGACTGATCAGTGTGTCTCTGGGTCTGAATGGACCTGATTGCACCTAACAGCAACTTGCTCTCAATTATTTTTCAGAAACTGCTTAGATCGTGAACTACAACAAGCCAACCAGCTATGACGACGGATTCTTAACTCCAGGTTATGCGGTCTTTAACGACATCATCAACTTCTGGCACACATACAAATACTGTTCACAGTTTTCCAAGCAACGTTCACCTTCAGGGAAGATCTCGGGCACCGCATCTACAGTAACGAGCTCGTGGATGGTGAGTCTAAATTGCTGACCTTGCAGTTTAAACTGACCTTGTGGTTCAGTACTTACACTACAGTGATGGGCTCGTGCTGGTGAGTCTAAACCGCTGACCTTGCAGTTTAAACCGACCTTGTGGTTCAGTACTTAGCCTACAGTGCCGTGCCAGGACTCCGCAGAACTTAACCTACTCTACACCAGGACTCCTGAACTGCATTTATACTCCCTTAAAAAAACAAAATTATATATAAAACAAATCTATACTAATATGTATATGTGTGCATTGTTGATAAGTGTTGCTGGGCGAGTTCTGACTCATAGCAACCCTGTGTATGGTTTCCAAGGAGTGGCTAGTGGGTTTAAGCCACCGATCATTCAATTAGCAGTCTAGTGCTTATCTTATAGCACTGCACCAGGATTCCATATGTGTGTGTGTGTATGTGCATATATATATATAGTGGTGGTGGTGGTTGTTAAGTGCCGTTGAGTCAGTTCTGAACTGTAGCTACCCTGTATAGGGTTTCAGAGAAGCGGCTGGTGAGTTTGAAACACTGATCTTCCAGTTGAAAGCAGCTTTGCAGTCCAGCGCATTAAGCCACAGTGCGACACCAGGACTCTCTCCCTGTCTGTATTTGTACATAACAACAACTGATGTTTGCGAGCATGTCCCAAAGCACCTAGTATCTGTATGCAACACCATGCCAGGTCAGGGCAAAAGTGAACACCCCAAACACCTAGTTACCTGCTGAGATCCCAGGTCAAGGACAAAGGGCCAAGAGGAAGGTAAGTTTACTAAGCATTTCCACTGGTGGCCTCACAGGATGTGCCTGCTAAATGCCGAGGGCAAGGACACCAGCCAGTAGCAGCTGTGCCATCCACACAGAGGTGGCTGTCTCATCACATGTTCTGGCTGAGGCCCATAGGGAGTGTCCTGTGGTTGATAGGGGCCCCAAGTCTGCACTGTTGGAGCACTGTCGGCAAGCTCTGTGGCCTTCAGTGGGCCTGAAGCTGTGATGGAGCGGGAGCCCACGACCAGGCGCAGGGTCACAGGTGCAGTCACAGCAATACCTGCAGTGGTGCGCACGCTCAGGCTTGATGCAGCAGCACTTGGGGCACTTGTAGATGACCTCGCCCGGCTTCAGCTGCAGGCTCTCCATGTACTCCTTCGTAGCATTCCCCTTGGGTACTGCCCCCTACAGTTTAATAAGAAGGCATTTCAGCTGGGGAGAAGGAAATGTTAAGCAAAAAAAAAAAAATCAATAACAGGAGTTTATCTGAAGACATTATATGAGAAGGCTTTCCAAAAACTTAAAAATTCCATTATTTTTCAATGTCATTTGTCCACAAACTTTTTCAAGCCTCCTTGTATATATATACTTACATATACATACATACACATAGGCATGCTTATCCATAGTTTTGGTTTTATATGTATGTATGTATGTATGCATGTATGCACATACATGGATGTCTGGTGTGGCACTGGCATGGTCAACACTTAAAACCCACCACCCGGCTCCTTGGAAACCCTACACAGGGTCTCTCTGAGTTGGAACTGACTTGACGGCAGTTAACAACAGCATGAACTTACACAGGAAACCAAACCCCCCTAACTACTGCCAACACGTCAGTCGTGACCCATAGTGACTCTGTACAGCAGTGCTGAGACACTGGTGGATTTGAACTGTTAACCTTATGGTTCACAGTCTAGTACTGAACCTACAGCACCACTAGGGCTCTTATACATGTACATGTGTGTACAACATATACTCGGCCTTCACTTATCAACGTGGTTACATTCCAAAGACCAACTCATTATGTGAAAACCAGCATTCTGAAAAAATGGAGAATGACCACCTAAGATTACAAAATGACGCTTAACTAGATCATTACACAATTGCCAAACTGTCATTACGAGTCACTGATAATCTAGCCAAGCTGACACATAACCTTAACCATCACAGCCAGCCTCACTCTCACCTCGGACCTCGGTGATCATTACTCCCAGATGTAATCAAAAGAATCATCAGATAACCAATATTTTACTACCGCTGTAAATGAGAAAAGTCAGTAAGAAGATAGTTGATAAGTGAGTAAGGGATAGGTGTATGGTGTGGTGGTTAGCATTTGGCTGTTAACTGAAAGGTCAGCTGTTCAAGATCACTAGCAGCTCTGTGGGGAAAAGATGGGGCAGTTCTGCCAAAGTCCAGAAAGCAGCCTTGAAACGCTATGGAACAGCTCAACTCTGTCCTATAGGGCTGCTCCGTATCAAAATGGACTTGATGACAATGGCTTTATGTGTGTGTCTGCATGTTTATAAACCACGTATCTGTGCACACGCACACACATGGTAAAATAAAAGCATTCATAATGTTGCTAAAGCCACTTGCAGCACCCAGGATACGAAAAATAATTGCATTACTCATGCAAAACCCCAATTTTATTTTCTATTTAAAAATGTATAAAACTCTAACAAGAACTGTATCATCCTTCATAAATTAACAAATCACCTGAGATTTTCCTAGCTCAATGCAGGACACCCTAGAGGCACAATTTGTTTTCGTTTTTCCAATTCCAGTTCTAACTGCCCTAGCTTTGGTTTGGATGGGAGGGTCAGCTGATAAGTGCTGCTGATAGTTTCCTTATCAGAGGTAGCAGGGGAACAATGAACAGAATAACGTGGAAAAGGACTTTATCTTTTGTCCCCTTGCCAACATGACCAAGAACATTTCCATACACACCTGGAAAATGTCAGTGAGGAAGCATGGGGCTAGAGAGAGGAGGCATGGGGAAAGCAGATAGGAAGGTGAGTCGGGAGGACGTGAATGGGGAGGGCATGAGGCATAACACCGAGGGCAGTCATTCTTTATTGGACAGTGGAAACCAGCTGGCCAGGTGTGAACAATGGACAGCCAAAGGCCAGGGACATTGTTCTAGGTTCTGTGGGAGGGTGGATGCAAACCTGAAGACTGGAATGTATCAGAGGCTCCAAGTGTTTTAATCCTATACATGTCCTTGTCCCCACAGAGCTTGTACTTAATGCAGAAGTGCCCATTTCTGGACAATGAGAGTCACTGAGGACTTATGAACAACTGGGGTGAAACCATAATAAAAGCGTCCATCAGCCCCACCCAAAAAAACAACAAAACCAGTTGCCGTTGAGTCATTTCCAACTCGAGGCAGCCCCGTGTGGGTCAGAGGACAGCTGTGTTCTACAGGGTTTTCACTGGGCAGTTTTTGTTAAGTAGATTGCCAGATCTTTCTTCTGAGGTGTCTTTGTTGTTGTTGTTAAGCACTATTGAGTTGGTTCCGACTCACAGCAACCCTGTATAAGGGTTTCCAAGGAGCAGCTGGTGAGCTCCAACTACTGACCTTGCAGTTCAAATGGCATTAGCCCACAGTGCCACCCCAGGGCTCCAATGACTAGATGGGACCATGCAAATGTGAGGTACTGATGACCCACCAAGGGGGCTGGGTAGATCGTTAATCATGTAAACAAGGTGCATGGCACCCTTGGCGTGGGACAGTGGTAAGTTTGGATTGGCCAGTTTTGTCTCTGAAGGCCCAAGCCCACCAAAGAGGTGGTAATCAAGACTTAAGAGTCACATCACCACTATCAAGCCACTGGCTGACTCTGTGCCATGTTTGTCCTCAGTGTATTGCTCCCCAGCCATCCGCCTGCAGGGCTGGGTCTACAACAGTCCTTCTTCCAGGGGTGGGTTGCCTGGTCTCTAATAATGCTCCGTGTGACCAAACCTCACAGGAAGAACTTGGGTGCAGCCAGAGCTAGAGAAATCTGTGAGTCCGAGCAACATCAGCTTGATGGCAAAACAGAGAGGGCAGCACAAATCTCATGGACCAATAAAAACTGCACAAGGCGGCATTAACATTGCGTTGCCTTTAGAGAACACTTGGTTTTAAGTCAGGATCTGGAGTTCCCCTGGAGCCTGGTATGAAATCACTGCTGCAGGGTGATGGAAAGACCTCTCCTGATGGAGCCCCCAAGGACCGCCTGTACCTGGCCACACACCTGCAGAGCAGCCCTGGTGTCTCAAGCTCCAGGTGAGCCAGAAGCCAGTGTCTGGAGAGTGCTGGCTGCTAAGCCCAGTGTGGTGACACAGTGAAGCCCCTCCCTAATGCAGACCTAACGTAGGGGCTCTGGCATTCGGTGTGTTAGAGCTGGTCTAGCTCTAGAGTCTTGGTGTGAGGGACAACGCTAGCTAGCTTGTTTCCACGTTCCTGTGGCCACTCTCCCTGAGCACTGTGAGTGAGCTCTCCTTTGGCCTCTCCCAAGTGAGAGCCCACACCTGACAACGTCATTAGAACTCCTTTCTGTCTTTCAGACCAGTGGCCTGAGAGGGACATCTGCTGCCAACTCTAGCTGAGAAGTTAGAGGTCACCTTTCAGCCAAATAATAGATTGGCCTATAAAGTAAACAAGAACACCCATGTGGAATGTGCCCCTTTAGACAAGCCACTCTATGAGATCAAACGGTCAACATGTATCCAAAAGCAAAAATGAGAAGGCCAGGAAGGGCAGAGGAAATGGATGGATGGAAAGAGGGTAAGCAGCTTGGAATGCTGTCGGTGCTGACCCATTGTGGGACTATGACCAGGGCCCTGGAACAATCTGTTTTTGAACTGTCAAATGGGAATCTAATTTGCTGTGTGAACTTTTCACCAAAACAATAAACCTAATGCACTGACATGAGCTGATTTCAACCCCATAGGACAGAGAGGAGCTACCCACTAGGGTTTTGCAGGCTGTAAATCTTTGCAGAAGCAGACTGCCACATCTTTCTCCCTCAGAGCAGCTGCTGGGTTTGAACCACTGACCTTTCTTGGTTTGCAGATGAATGTTTAACCACTAAACCACCAGGACACCACAATATTAAAATAAAGTTTGAAAAATAAAATGAATGACCTACACCTATAAATGCAGTAGCTCAAAAGAGGAAACAAGTCCCTGCTGCAAGAACTATACCCCCCCCCTCCACACAAAGGGTAGACAGGGATGGGCAACTTGGACATTGGCTACCCAAAATGGGGGGAGAGATACAAAGGCAAGAAGTGACTAGCTTATAAGCTTTCAAGAGGGAACCTAGATCCAAAGGGCCTGGAGGAAAGTAGTCTCCAGTGAGTGGTGTCCAGGAAGGGCTGATGAAATGAAATATAGATGGGTCCTATAGATGGGTCTCCTGTGATGCAATTGTGAATAATTGTTATCAGGACTGATTGTGAGGGTTGGCAATCTAAAGATGGACATTTTGTAACAAAGAGGGGAGTGATTAATTTATCAGTCTAGGAGCGGAGGACCCTGGGACCATCAATGGAGAAGAGCAAAGAGCGGAATCCTACCCAGAGAGGCAGTGAGGCCTGGGATGGAGGCAGAGATGGTGGGGCTAGGGGCTCGGGATCAGGAGATGGAAAGGGGCTGAGGACTATGTGTGTATGTGGGGTGCAGGTTTACAGGATACACCCCTTGGTTGGGTGAGAATGCATGGACAGGATGATAACTATGCCAACAAAATGATGGATGATGGAATGAATGTAAAGCTGATGTTCTCCCATGTAGACTATCACACGATTCACAATAAAACATTAAAAAAATAATAATAAAATAAAATGAATGAGTTAGAGAGTCTGAAAAGAATTTAAAGATGACACCTAACCTTTGGCTTAAAGAGGTTGAAGTGGTTGCTTATGGTCAAAAGATGAGTGAAGGGGAAATCTATACCCATACTTTAATGCAGGGGTGGGGAATATCTGGACGGCAAAATCACCTAGTCTGGCCCTGGCAAGCCAACCACAGCTCCAACTGTCACACTATTGTTGGTAAGTGCTGTCGAGTTGGTTCCGACTCATGGTGACCCTGTACAGGGTTTCCGAGGAGCAACTGGTGGGTTTGAACTGCTGACCTTGTGGTTTGCAGTCCAGTGCTGATCCTACAGCGCCACACCAGGAGTCCGGCCATCACATTGTTGCTGTTGTTAAGTGCCGTCAAGTCAGTTCCGACTCATAGTGACCCTTTGTAGGATTTCCAAGGAGCGTCTGGTGTGTTTGAACCAACAACCTTGAGGTCCAGCACATTAACCCACAGCGCCACGCCAGGACTCTAGCCATCACATTGTTGCTGTTGTTAAGTGCCGTCGAGTCGATTCTGACCCACAGTGACCCTGTGGTGAGCTTGAGCCACCGACCTTGCAATTCAAACGACCCTGCAGTCTGATGCATTAGCTCACAGAGCCACACTAGGACTCTAGCCATCGTATTAGCAGTGAATTAATTAAATGATTGACCAAATTTGTTGTTGTTGTTAAGTGCCGTCGAGTCGGGTCCGACCCATAGCGACCCTGTACAGGGTTTCCGAGGGTGGATTGACCAAATAGAGCAGGCTAATTTTAAGTTAATTTTGTACAGTCCGTGAATGATGTTACAAATTTTGGTAGAAAAATGTTCCCCGCTCCTGCGTTAGAGAAATCATTCAGAGAAGGGATTTGGGAGGTTATCATTACACCTCTTCACTGGACGACAGCCCAGTGAAGGATGGTGTTTCCCATGAGTCACTTGACTCTCCAGTGAAGGCCTAGGGCCACAGTAGCGTCGACAGTGACAACAGGAGAATGGAGCAGAGACAGCGCGCGTACTCACAGGGTCGGTGAGCATGGTTCTCAGGTGAGATGACAGGGCGAGGACGGCTAAGCAGTTAAAAATGACCCCGTTGATCAGAGTGTACCAGAAGTCTTTGGAAGGCAGCAGCATGACAAAGGTCACCACGAAGTCAGCATAGACGACCAGGAGCCAGGTCATGATGGCGCAGGCCATGCCACAGCCATCCCGGATGAACCACACCCTGTCTGCCGTGTCGGGCTCAGAAGATGAGGAGGATGAAGAGGAGTCATAATTGTCATTTTCAGTCAGGAGAGGGTGATGTTCAACATCCCGGAACCGGTGTCCTGATGACTGCATGGTTTCCTGAGGTGCCCTGCAGGGGTGCCGCACAGGATCAGGCTCCAAGGAGGTGCTCACACGCATGCATACGTGTGCTGACATGTAAGAGCACATGTATGTGCACACGTTCAAACACAAGGCTGCTTCAAAAGGTCCATGGAAAACTCCCCTTCTCTTTTAATTCTGTTTTCCCAGAAACTCTTGAAGCCCCCCCTCATGCATGTATGCTCACACACACACATGTACATGTTCACACACACAAGCTTTCACATATTCACACACAGACTCACATGCAACTTTATTGATGGTGTTACAAAACAATGAAGCCTGTTCACCTAAGATTAGGCTCCTCCACCTAAGATCAAAGAAAATGCAAAGACTACCCCACCTGCAGAATTACAGCGCCTAGTAATGGCAGAGGTGGGCCTCATGGAACTCTGCTCCCACCCACTCGACCAGAGAGCCAGCCAGCAGGTTCCACCTCTGAATGTGAAAAAATGTTCAGCACAGGTAACTGCAGCATGGAAGGAGGAGGGTGCTTAGATTTCTCTGCCTATCTGCAGGCCAAGAGCCTTAAGCTGTTTATCAGCATGTTAAATAAAGCCTGGCTTCCCACAACAGTAACTGCAATGCCACAGAGCTCTGTGAGGGGAGGGTCCTCCACAGGAACAACAGCTTCCTGTGACTTTGACCCCTGTGTACTGACAAAGCATTAAAGCTGTAAACCTCCTCAGGCCAGGATCACTCCTCACAGAGGGCGCATTCCAGGAGAAATGGCTGCTGCCTTATGGGCTATGTAACCACACGTCTGGAGGCCGACTCATCCTTTCAGAGCATCGGGTGTGGACGGTTCAAGTTCTACCCAGAGCGCAGGCCACATGAAGGCACCGCTTCATTTCAGAGAACTGCCAGAGGCCGGGCTGCAGTCCTGTGGTGCCACACCTTTCCTTAGGGGTCAGAGAGCAGGTGTGGCTGGTAGGAGAGTAACCACAAAGACACCAGGCACTGAGGACTGGAGGATGTATGTGTCAACTAAGGACAATGATTGGATCTCCGAAAGTCATTTTACTTTCAAGATGATAATCAATGAGCCAGGCAGGGTTAGGCTGGAGGAATTCCGTCATCTGTAGTCGGCTGGACTGGCGTTCTGCTGACTCACTGTACTGATAACTTCACCAATGCGACAGGAAGGGTGGGGAGGAAATGAGGAAACAATTCCTTTACATTGGCCCAAATCTAAAAATACTGACCACAGGAGAGCTAATGGCACAGCAATTTGAAATGTAAGCGACAATGGACGCCTTACAAGGGCAGGCGCAGAGGGAGGGCGTGGGACCCGGATCGATGCTACTCCTAGAGACTGCTCTCAGGGAAGGGGAAAGCACACTGCCTTAGCCGGCAGGCAAACAGATGGTTGATTTCATGGGAAAGAGTGTGCACGCCTGTACCGAAGTCCCCGTTTCCCAGAACACTAAAGCAGCACCAAAGAGCTCCATTATTTAAGGGTTAATGGCACAGGCATAAATCATCACTGCTCTCTCTTTACTGTTCCAGTGCTCCTTCCCTATGGGAATACTTGCTAATAACACTCCAATTTCAAAGACCTCCTCCCCTTCAGGAGCCCTGCTTCATAAAGGGCTGACTTGTCACTGTTAACCTTGTGCTCTGCGTCTTTGGGGTGGTTTTACTGTAGTCCTGTATTCCTTTCTCAGTAAGACATGGGTTGAGGGCAGCTGCTAAAAAGAAAACGCTGTACTCCTAATTACAGAACCAGACTCTTACCTCAAAATGGATTGTTCAACATCACTTGAACATTTTGCGCCTTTTCTTCAGGAGCGTAAGGTGCATACTGTCCTATGTGATAGGTTCTGAAAGACAACGAAATCTCATTAGCAACATAATTTCTTTTATGACAGAAAAGTGTGCTATTTCTTAAGGCAGGACTAATGAATGTGCAGGTAACCAAAATAACATTTTATATGGAAAGTGCCATGATTCAGAATTAAAGTTACTAATGATGTCATTTCTCCCGTTTTCATTGCTAATACATAATGACATTACTAATACATAATGGGGAAGAACACACTTAGCATTTCTCAAGCTGGGGGAACTGAAGAAAAAATTCAAGCCTCGACTTTCGTTATTGAAGGATTCTCTGGGAAAATTACTGAATGATGCACAAAGCATCAAGAGAAGATGGAAGGAATCCACAGAGTCACTGTACCAAAAGGAAATGGTTAATGTTCAACCATTTCAAGAGGTAGCAAATGATCAAGAGCCAATGATACTGAAGAAGAAGTCCAAGGTGCACTGAAAGAATTGGCAAAGAACAAGGCACCAGGAATTGATAGAATACAAATTGAAATCTTTCAGAAAAGTGACGCAGCACTAGAGGCACTCACTCATGTATGCTAAGAAATTTGGAAGACAGCT